TTTTATGAAAAGCCCAAAGTGGGGTGATTTTAGGAACGGCTTTCCGTTTTTGTTTTTATGAAAAGCCCAAAGTGGTGTGATTTTAGGAATGGCTTTCCGTTTTTGTTTTTATGAAAAGCCCAAAGTGGGGTGATTTTCTAGTGATTGCAGGGTTTCGGGTTCAGGGTTTAGGGTTCGGGGTTAAGGGTTTAAGGGGCTAGGGTTAAGGGTTCAGGTTTTAGGGTTTAGGGTTGTCCCCTGACTTCCACAGTTTGGTTGAGATGGGCATCGCATGCTTCAGGCACCGTATGATGACTCTTAGGGGGAACCGAGGTTCTACAAAACTTGCGACTACTGCAAGATGGTCGGGCATGGAGTAAAGGCCTGCCCTGTTCTGCTGCGGAAGGCGCAGGAGAAGGTCAGCAAGGAGAAGGAGAACGCAGAGAAGAAAGCCAACAACGACACTTGGAGCGAGTCTGGAACAAGTACCACGGCCTCGTCTTGGAATTCGTGGAGATCCGAGCGAGCGTGGTGGCAGCCGCGCGGGGGGAGGAAGGGCAAGTCCAGGACGGCATGGTCAGAATCTGGGCTTTTGTCAAAGAAAAGTTATAAGAAAACGTAAAGTTACCATAGTAACGAAGCCATACGGGTAATTCTCAAAATTAGGGTCCTTTTTCGGTCACCAAAAGTTACAAGAGTACGGCTCTCTTAGCCAGAAAAGGACCCTAGAAGGGATCCTAATTTAGGGAACTGCCCATCTTGTTTGCTATGAATCCCTAAACCCGAACCCGGAGAGCCCAATACCCCTTAATTCAGGAATATGCCTTAAATGACAAGGGGCTTCATATTATGATTTAAGGTATCTTCCTGAATTAAGGGGTATTGGGCTCTCTGGGCAACCCCCAATCCGGCCTATGACGACAACTTAAGCTCAACTCCGCAAACCAAGCCCAGGAGTGGCAGCCGGAGCATTGGGTGCTGAGTGAAGACGAAGAACGGGAGGCCTTCAGTCTGAATGCTTAGGGTTTAGGGTTTAGGGGCTTGCTGAGAATGATGGGGATGATCTGTGATGAGGAGGAGGATGATGATTATGAGGTTCCAAGGTTTAAGGTTAGGGTTTAGGGTGGGGAGGAACAGGGGAGGAATGGGGAGGACGACTACTCTCCATGAGCCCTGCATCCAGAGCCTCGATAAAGCGGAACCCTGGGTTTAGGGCTTAGGGGTTAGGTTTTAGGGCTTAGGGTTTAGGGTTTAGGGCAATCACAGCCTCAGCGCAGAGACAGCAGGCCACGAGATTTCCAATCACACGGTTTCAATTCAACATGGTGCCACCCTTCAGAATCCCAGGACCCTTAATACCCTTAATACCTTACATACCTTACTATCCAAACCTGAAAGCGCAAGGACTAGACATGAAATCTAAACCCTAATCCCACAGACAAGAACCGCTTCTTACATGCCCTTGTTACACCCTATACCTGGGTTCTGGTGTACTACACCTGGGTTCTGGAGTACCATACTTGAGTACTTTGTTTGGACCTGTTCCTTAATGGAACCATGTCTGAAAGAACAGGCTATACTACCCTAAAGCCCCTAAACCCAAACCCTAAACCGCTAAACCCTGAAGCCTAAATTTCTCCCGGGGTACTTCAAAGTGGGGAAACCGCAGGCTCGCAAGCTAGAGAAGAAGCTTCGGGAGATCGCAGCCCTGGTGCCTTGGTTGATGTAGATGTACGGCTTTCCTAGTAGTCGGGTTAGGTTTAGCGTTTAGGGTTTAGGGAACCTCTAACCTTTTGGGGGTAGTATAATCCCTATATAATCCCACAGGTTTTCCTTGTAGTGGAACAGGTTTAGGGTCTAGGGTTTAGGTAACTTTGTAACCTTTTTGCGGGTAGTATAAACCATATATATATATGTATATATATATATATATGTATATACATATATATATATAATCCCGCAGGTTAATCTTTAGGTCCCGGACAGGTCAGATTTTTGTTGCGAAGATTTCAACAGGGCCTCGCTGACTCCCTTGAAGGGGGAACCCTTGTGGGAACGCTGACGCCAAACCCGGAATCCTAAATGGGCCTGGTAGGGGCCCTTAGGCCCTTATGGGAAAATTCCGCTAAATCCTAAACCCTGAACCCCTAAACCCCTAAACCCCGAAACCCCTAAATCCTAAACCCTAAAACTCTAAACCCTTAAACCCCTAAACCCCTAAACCCTACTCCTCTAAACCCCTAACCCCTAAACCCTAAACCCCTACACCCCTAAACCCCTAAACCCTAAAACCCTACACCCTTAAACCCCTAAACCCCTAAACCCTAAACCCCTAAAGCCCTAAACCCCAAACCCCTACAGTAAACCCTAAACCCCGAAACCCCAAAGCCCGTCTCTGCTGGGAGAGTCGGGGGACGCAGTAACTAGTTACTTTCTAGACTTAGAAGTATCATAACCCCAATTAGGATCGCTTTTAGGGTACTTATAACTCTACTTATTACCTACTTACTAAGTCCCCTAAACCCTAAACCCTAAACCCTAAAACCCTGAACCCCTGAACCCCTGAACCCCTGAACCCCAAACCCCTAAACCCTAAACCCCGAAACCCCAAAGCCCGTGTCTACTGGGAGGGTCGGGGGACTTAGTAAGTAGTTATTTTCTAGACTTAAAATTATGATAACCCCAATTAGGATCCCTTTTAGGGTACTTATACCTCTACTTATTACCTACTTACTAAGCTCCCCGACCCTCCAAGTACACCCTAAACCCTAAACCCTAAACCCTATACCCTAAACCGAGTGCCTCCCCGAAGAGCCCAGGAGCAGCTTCAGGAGCAGGGCAGGGGCTTGGATTCGCTTCAGCTGCAAAAGGTGCGCTGTAGGTACTTCGTAGTAGAGTAGGGTTTCTAAAGGGTTTAGGGGTTTAGG